CGATGACGAGATCACGAGGAACAAAGGACCGCCTGTAACTCCGCTCCGCGAGAGGTTTGGTTCCTGTGTTCTTCATTCGTCTGCTCTTTGATCCGCTTTTCTATTATCTTATTTCCTGTTGTAGATTTTGAGTCCGGGAAAAGGATTGCAGATCTCGATTCCTGATTTTCTTGCTTAACACGTGCTGATCTTTATATCTTTATTTATTTTTCCTGCAATTGAGTCTTGATTATCTTATACACATTGGGATCACCATCTGATCTATTGTGGATCTTGATGTTTTTATGCTATTCTCATGGTTTTCTTCGTCACTGAACGGACTGCTAGCTGCATGAGAAGATAATTCTGGTATAATCCGATCATCGACCCATATATAGGCTTTATTCTGGTAGTCTTTTTGCCATTGCTCGGAACAAGTATAGTTTATGCTACTTAATTTGAACTGCTAGCTCTGTACGGATATGATTTTGGTGGAATATTAATCTTCATTCTAGCTGTCTATATTGCTCTACTTTCTGAAACGGCAGCAGCTGATTACTTTTCTAGTTTTCTTCTTATTTGTTGGATTGAAATATTGTAGTTTCTAATGCTACTTTTGAAATAGCTTCTCGTAAAGGCAGCATGTTTGTTCTTTATTGGACTAATGTTGGTGGAATATTAACCTTTGCTTTTGTTCTCTATTTCACTCTACTTTCTGAAAAGGCAGTAGCTGATTACCTTTATTCTTATTTGTTGGGACTATTATCTTCTGTTTAAATCACTTCAGTTTGTTATTACTATAGTTCGTTTTATGTTAGAATTTAGTGAGTTACGTTCATCTGATACTTTTATTGTCTCCTAAATGACTAACTTTTTAACATAGTCCTAGTCATTGTTATAAATAGCAGTAAATAGCCCCGTAATAGCGGCGCTAATAGCGTTAGCGGTCACTTTCCGCTACGCTATCGCCCAATAGCGGTGACATATTACGGAATATGCACTTTCCGTTCGCAAAAGCGGCCAATAGAGTGCCCTAACGGTAAATAGCAGACGATTGCGTGCAAAATCCGCTTTTTGATTGCTATTTAAAAGTGGTTTGGGGTTTATTTTTTTAAAATTAAACCCGACCTTTAACCACTACATTCGACCGCCTCCCGTGATTTTCAGCGTGTTCCCGCCGCCTCTCACCGCTCAGCTCATCTTCTCGAAGACGACGACTCTTTGACTTCTCCTCCAGTCGTCTTTGATATTATGTGACGATTACATGTTTATTTCATGTTTAGGATCTCTTTAAATCATCAAATAAGCACTTTTAGTTTTTCTAGATTTTTCTTTAATCTTTTTTTAGTATTTACACATATCTAAATTAGACCGTTATTTGATTTTGTGCTTTTTGCCGCTATTTTGCCGCAATATTCCAAAATAGCCTTAGCGATGCCTCACCGATGCGTGACGCTATCTGCTATTGATAACCTTGGTCCTGGTACCTTTTAAATTTTTTTTCTCTTGCATTATGTTTTCAATGGATCATTATCATCAAATTAGCTAAGTTGAAAAGTTTTGTTAACATTTGAAAGGACGTGTATGACTTCCCTTTTTATTTGCTTTGTACCTCAGATTTGAAGTACGTTCTCTTGATATGATAAGCTTCAATCTGACCAAGAATGTTATGAATTTAGATTATTTATGTTCTTGTTAGCAATCATGTGATTTTGCATTATTGAATATAGTATTTTACATTTTTAGGACTTGTTTTTGAAACTTTTCTTTCTTGTGAAAGTGTATTTTCCAAGGGCTTCTAAGGTAACTTATAATGTTTAATATAGGGTATTACTTAGTTTAATAATCAATCAATAAGATTGAGAAAATCTTTTCCAAAACACTTGACAAGTTATCAAAGCCAAAATTTTAACCCTTCATTCTAACTGCGAAGTCGTCGCATGGTTGTTGTGGCAAACACAATTGCCACACTTTCCCTTGGCGGCTTCGTCATGTTCCCACTTGTCCTCCCATCCGCTTTCACTGTCATTATCTTCTCTTCTAATCTTTTACCAACACTTGACATGGTGTTTGAGCTAAGATGAAAGATCACCATAACCATTGCCGATCTTTCCTCTAGAGCCAAAGCCCTCACCACCGTTTATCTGCGATGCCCCTTCATATCTTTCTCCAGCAGCAGAGGCTCAGAACTCTGCCTCTCCTCCTCAGAAAATGGCCTCCTCTTCTCGCCCATGGTATCTTCTTTGTCAGGATCATTGATTGATTTCTGGCATCCAAGGATCACCATCCATTTGGCACTCTGATTTCTATGTCCAGAAACCCATGAATCGCTAGCCCAATTTGGTGTCCTATTTCAAAAATCAAGTACTTTCTTGTGACTTTCTATTTCAAAATCTTATTTTTTCAGATGATAGAAAGTGAAAATATGGGATGAAGGGGCAGTGGTATGTCATCCAATTTCTTCGTCTTGTTAGATTGCAACGAAAGTGGATAGAAAAAAGTGAATATTTATAAGAGAAATAGTAACTAGATAGAATAAATAATTAATGTCTCTATCCCTCATTCACATCCTATCCATATTGAGAAAGCGGAAAAGGGCTAGAATTCCGGTGCGACACCTTTCACTTTCTAATGAATTTTCACTTGCCAAATAGGGGCAAAAAGGAAAAAAGCTTTTCAATATTTGATCGCTGTCCATTTACTTTTGTTTGCTAAACCCCTTAGTGTGACTGATGCTAATATTCCTTCTAACATCTCTTCCGTTGAGCTTTGTCAATGTCACTAGCTTGTGGAATGCGTTCTTGCCCTACGGCCTATCTTATCAATCTCCTCATTTTGTTAATCACCCTCAAATAAGCTGCTTTTCATCCTGTCCGTCATATTCTTGCTTCCTATACGATTCTCTGCAGCGAGTGTCTCCTCTCCATGCTGCAATATTGATCGTGTGCTTTCTTCATCGTCCCTAGATACTGATCTTTCATCTTTGATCTCCTTTTCACCAATATTTTTTTTATCTTTGCCTTCGATTTCTTCTCCTTTGCCATCGATCTTGCCAGCACTAAGTTTTTCTCTCATGGTATTAATTATCCATTGTTTCATATCTCTCCTATGTGAGACTTTCTTTTTGTCGGTTGTCACTCTTTTGTCAAGGCTCAGCATTTTCCTGTTTTGGCACTTCTTCAAACTCTTGAGCATTGTTCTACAATGAGTTTGAGGGGATATGTTAAATATAGTATCCTTTTCTATGTGGCTTGTACTTGGAAAATATTTTAGGGAATAAGAAAAGAATACATTTCTAATTTCAGTAGATAATCAACAGTATTTGTATATATGTAGAGGGTAATTCCTTCTTGAACAATCAGTCAAAGAAATCTTTTATAGACATACCACTACGAAAAAATAATGGAGAAATTACTACTTCATTATAACCCTTGATTTTTTAAATGGATAGTTGTCATTTGTCTTTAAG